TATAAAATTGCTTTAATATGTTGGACATCTCAAATGCTCTCGTTGTCTGCAATAGGACAAATACTGCTTTGATTCTGAATCTATTCACCTGGGTGGAATTGGGGCTGATGTGGGGAAAATCAAAACCACACACACACACACACACACACACACACACACACACACACACACACACACACACACACACACACACACACAGACAGCAGGACAGGATCTGCCATCTTGGCAGATTCTGGTTCAAAGTGCATGCTGAGGTGGCGAGTTGTGGACAGAGCTATCCTCCTTTTCTTTTTTATTTTTATTTGTATTTTAAACTTATTTTATAGACCATTCTCCATTTAGCAATTTAACTGTTACTGTTCCCTCAGAGGTTCTAGAAGGAAGACTGAAAAAAAAGAAAAAAAAAAGAAAAGAAAGAAAGAAAGAAAGAGAAGAAACAGAGCTATCCTCCTCCTTTCTACTGCTTCTCTACCTTTGTCTCACTTTTGGTTACTTGCTACTGAGTCGGGGACTTCATTGAGCCTCACGACTTGTTCTACATTGTGATTGGTTCCATAAAATTCTTTTTCAGTGCATCATTGAGACTATTTTTTGTTGCAGATTCTCATGACTGTTGGGTTCATGACACCTGCTTGTGTCAAGTCCTTCCACTGTTTTTTTTTTCCTTTTTCTTTTTTATTGTCTTCCTTCTAGAACCTCTGGGGTAACAGTAACAGTTAAAAAAATGCTAAACGGAGAATGGTGGACATGACAAAAAGAAAAAAAAAGAAAAAAAAAGAAAAAAAAAGAGAGAGAGAATGGTCTACAATCACTCTACATGTTATTGCAATCATCCTCGACTCCTTCTCACTTGTCATCCATGCAAACAGCGAAACAACAAACTGGCGACATGCGCCCACACAGTACTCAAAGATATCGTAACCAAGTAAGAGTTCTCTTCAAAATGGCTATGGCGACTGAGCGCCCACACAACTCACTGTTCGCACTCTGGATCACCCTGGATGTCCCACACGCACACTCAGTGTTCATACCCAACACCCACACAGTACACAAACTCTGCACTCTACACTGAGCTATGGCAGCTATGGCTGCCTCCACCTATTGTTATGGCTACAGTGCTTCACTCTTGCCCCCTTCATCTTCGGGCCTCCAGCAGACCTCCTTGCACTAGACGCTGTGGCAGCGCTACCGCCTGGCATCCGCAGGAATGAATGTCCTGGCTGGACGCAGCCTCTTGATTTATACTTCTGCGCTCCGTTGGTCTGCCCTGTCTCCCTGGCCCATGGTGCACACAGTTTACCCCGTGGTACTTGCTGGACCGGACTGGTACCTTCTAGACCCTTCCATGACTGTATGGCGACTACCCTACGACGCAGTGCAGGYGCACTGGGGTCCTACTATTTGCCCTTGCCACTTGTCCTCGTTTCCAAYGTGGGCTTTGCTTTAGTCACACCACTTGCCCACTTGCCTGCACCACTTGACCACTTGCCAACCTTCTAGAAGGACTGCGCTTGCTTTAGTCACACCACTTGCCCACTTGCCTGCACCACTTGACCACTTGCCTACCTTCTAGAAGGACTGCAGCTAGCCTTCTAAYCTACAGGTCTACGGCTCGAATCCTGGCTACCTATAGACCTACGACAGACCTACCTACCACTGGCGGTTCTACAGGKCGCAGGTTCAACTCTTAGGGTTGACGCAGGTATAGTACACAGGTAAGTTGGGGAACTAGGGATCGAGCCCTGGGATCTGTTTCAGCTACCACGAATTGGTGAATACCGTTTCANGGTCGCAGGTTCAACTCTTAGGGTTGACGCAGGTATAGTACACAGGTAAGTTGGGGAACTAGGGATCGAGCCCTGGGATCTGTTTCAGCTACCACGAATTGGTGAATACCGTTTCATTATCAAGAGTCAAGACAGACGTACAGATCTCTTTCTGTCTTGTCTGCAGAGTCATGCAGACCCTGTCATTCCTCTCCATGCTTTTTTTTTTTTTTTTTTTAACTTCGTATACAGTAAACCTACTTTGCTTTCTGCCTTTGCCATACGAACGTGTGCTTCTTCTCTATGTCCCTACCATGGTTACGATCCAGACGTACAGATCTCAGTGCAGACGGTCCGGGTCTGGATGTCCAGGTCCGGTGTACGGTCCAGACATCTGGATGCACCACCACCCCTCCTCCCCCCCAAAAGATCCAACTGCAGAAAAAAAAACAAAAAAAAAAAAACTGAAAAAAAGATATGATATGCAGCATTGGAATATCAACTCGAAATTCGTAGCCAAATCCAAGGGGGGGGGAAGCTTTTTTTTTTTTTTTTTTCCTTAGGACTTAGGAGGGGGGTTGAATCCAGACTGTCTGGAGAAGTCCAGACAGAGGTCTGCCCGGACGTACGGATTGGTCCGGTGTGCGGGTCCGGCGTAACCATGGTCCCTACAGTTTTTGTGGATTGATGATCCATCGAATCATGATTCGAATGACATTTATTCTTTAAATTTCTTTTCCGTGCCCTCCTTCTACCCCGACAGATGGTGAACGGATTTTCGGACTATTTGTCATGCCATTTATAAGAAAACCCGAAGGTCTTTTTTACCAAACTTGCCACCAATTTTTGGGCCATTCAAAATTCCTCTGCTGACATTTCTGAAATGAAATTTCTGAAAACCGAATCATGCTTACAGTATTTTAGTAATTTGACTAATTTACTGAAATTTACTATTTTTATTTGTTTTACATGGTTAAGTTAAGTTGATGGTTAACCCCATTTTACCCATACGTGCCAAGATGGCAACGCCATGCGGAGGCCACCTATACTGTGTGGTTGAAAATGCATGTTCCGTTGTTTTTTTTTTTTTTTTTTTTTTTTTTTTTTTTTGTCAACGAAAGAAAGCGTTTCAGGGCAAATCTGGACCGCCCGTCCCAACATGCAACGATGGAAGTAGGGCCACAACCGCCAGGGTCAGGCTGCGCAGCTGATAAAAAGTAGTAGGCTAGTAGCTTTTAGTAGATATCCAACGAAACGAAAGTAAGTAAGAAACATCAGTGGGGGTGCCACTTGGACCTGAAGGCATGCTCCGGTTTCGCTCCTTGGAGGGGAACACACCACTGCACCTCGCCCTTGGGAAAGAGCAAAAGAACCAAGCTGCCTCCTCCAACCCTAGCCCCAAAAGCACAAGAGGCCAAAAAGCATCCTGGCAGAGGAATGCTTTTCTTTTCCATTTTTTTTTTCATAAAGGCCCTCTTAAAGGGGGTAGGCCCTAACATTATCGTATTCGTCCCAGCTCGTCAGGACTTGAACTCACAAGCTGGTTGTTGTTAACCAGTTCCAAGCCTGTACCATTTGGGCCCAAAGCATCCTTTTTTTTTTTTCATTTATTTATATAAAGCCCAGGGTGTTGTAGAGGCCAAGGACTAGACCCAAAGCATCGTGACAATGGAATGTTTTAGCTCTCCCACAGACCTGTGAGGCGCAGCTCTATTTTTTTGTGTTTTCTGTCTTTTCTTTTCTCGCATTCGTCGACTTGGTTGCATGTGTAGATTTGCGCAGGTGTAGGTGCACTGGTCGTCTTACCGGTGAAGAGTTAAGTGTCTACCGGCTGGCCTCCCAAGCAGCAGGCTCACCCTAAGCATCGGTGGTCCCATTGAAATTTGAAAGTCAAGTATCTGGTTCTTTTGAAAAAAACAATGTCTGCATGCTCTCACCTCCTTGGCAGGTGTGTCCATTGGCATGCTGTTACAGACTGGACGGATATGGTCAGCGACTATGGTTTGCTCGTAGCCGGCTCATCATGGTGCTCCAGCTGGTACATTCATGGAGGCGTTTCCCAGGCCAACCCCAATTAATGATAGTCAAGAAGTTTGTGAGCGGAATGGAAGAGCATGTTGATACACAAGCACAAGGCTTGGGAGTTTCTGTGATGAAAAGGTCGGTGGACTCCGCACGTTCAAGCAGTGATCCACGATGTAGCGGTGATACCGAGCGGGAGCGGGAGAGCGAATGTGGGGACCGCAGCAGGGAGTCTGAATCCTCTGCAAACTGTGGTCCCCACAAAAGCTTTGTTGTAGAGCAACCCAATCCTATGCTGCCATGTGCTGTGATGCGCGAGATGCATGCCTTTCCCCATGGCAGGAGCAGATGGCAGGGGGATCACCAGCCTGGCAGAAATTCTGAAGAAGCGGTGGTGAAGGAGCTACAGAGAGAGATAAAGATGTTGATCGAGGATAGAGATATGCTCTTGCGGAAACTTCAGCGGTATGCAAGTAAGTTACCTTAGTTGGTTTTCCATCCTATTCAATGCCAAATGTCTGCTCAGCATAATTACTACTTGGGCTCAGAAGTTATTAGAAGGTAGAGAAAATTAATAAATTATGTATGGGTTTTATGGAGTTCATGAAACTTCAACTTCATTCAATGGGTCATGTTGTGAACTTATTTTCCCACAATCATTCATCCTAAGTTCAGACTGTTTTGATTCTGGATCCTTCAAGTGTGCAAGTCTGGACTTCGAAATTGGATGAGGACTCATCCTCTGAGTCCTCTCCAATTTTTTTTTATTTTTATTTTTATTATTATTATTATTTTTTTAAACACGCCCCCTGTCAGTGTTAGCGGTGCTGATAAGAGCAGACACTGCTAACACCTGGGGGGGAGCTCCATCTATTGGTGGGGAGCGACACCTGCTGGAAAACGGGTCCAGCGTCCCTTACATGGGCAGAATTCGAACCATATCAGAAAAACGGAGATGTGGAATATTCCTGCCAGCATTGATTACCCTGGGGTCCAGGGGATTGACTGAGCAGGATGTTGGGGGGGGCGAACCTCTTCACCCTGAAGCTGGCGCCAGATACCTGCTGCTACACCCTGGTTCCTCCCGCCCCCTACCTTTGAGATTTACCTTCTATTGATGCCGCTGGCCCACTCATACCGCTCCATCCCATTGCATGTCTACCCTGCCAACGAGTCCTCTCCAATTTACCTCCTCTGAGTCCTCTCCAAGTCTGGACTTTGAAATGGGAGAAATGTGGCAAGGGCATTGGGGAGGCTACAGGTCATAGCAACTTTCAACTCACATCATCACATAGAATTGGATAGAACTAAAATAGAATTGGAATTTGGATAGAAATAAAAATAGAATTGGATAGAAATAAAAGTTGGTAGGGCAAGGTGAAAAAAAGAAGGTAAAAGAAATTGCGAGGCCCAAGGCCTCGATCTGCCCTATTGGGCCCTATTTTCTGTACAGTCGGCCGCCCTAAGTGAAGGCAGGCTCGACCCAGGGGCTACAGGCCTACTTTTGGGGTCATCGAGCAACTGGGCAATTTCAAGCAGCGCCAGTTGGTTGAGAGCGCCCAGGCCCAGGCTGCCTTTTTCCGTATGTAACTGAGGCAGGCCCTGGGCCAGATACGCAACATGGACCGAACACAGGCCGAGGGCAGTTGGACACGGCCAACCACCAGAGGCCCAGGGCCTGATTCATTTGGACTGGGGCACAGCCTCTCTGGGCCTACCGGAAGCTTCTGGGGAGGGGCCCAGTGCAGCCAGGCTTCACGCAGCAGGCAGGCAATTTCCATTTAGGATAGTGCCTTCCCACACATTCCTCATTCGAGCACTGGCTGCATGTTGCGCTAGACGCTGGCCAGCGCTCATGCGCTACGGGCGAGCTGGATGAGCAGGCAGCCATAGCCGAGCTGCGCTGCTGTATGCTGGATGGGGCGCATGGTGGTCCTTGGGTGCACATGGCATCTGTGAGTGGGGGATCGAGGTTGTGAGTGATACGGGAGACATACCTGGTGCTTGAAGCGAACGGCATTGGCCGAGATCTGCTCGTACTTCGGGGGAGCTGTCGACGTCACCAGCGGCATTGTAGATTAGGCTAGATAGGATCTGCCATGAGCAGTCTGGGCGCAGAGCGTCAGATAGGAGGTCGACAATGGTTCTTTGTTGATGATGAGAGACTATTCCAACATTGTCACTTATGAGCTTTTGCTGTGCTCTTATTTGGTGGAACTCGTATTGCAAATCTGCTTTTGGTTCGAGGTCAGGACTATCTGGTCACATGTGTATGATGCTGTTTGGTTTCTGAAGTTCGCTATCACCCATTTCCTTGCAATTTGGTATCAGAGCTGTGGTACGGTGCGCTAATCTGGCGCTTGTCTTCTGCCTATGCGGTATATGCATGCGGTCTGCTGGGCGAGCGGCCGTAGGGAGTGTGTAGTGAGGAGGGCGAAGGCAAGTAAGGCGACCCAGGAGGTGAGGAGTATCGCCAGGAAGGCTACGTGGTGTATAGTGGGTGTTCGCAGTGTGATGAGAACTATCTGATGTGCGATTGATGCTGAGGTGGAACGACGGTGTAATGCTGGTTGTGCCGAAGCAGCGATTGGTCATCACAGTCGGCATCAGGTCATCTGGTGAGAATATCTGTGGTTGGGGGCAGCTATTTTGAGGTACGTTGCTCTGAACCTTATCTACCCTCTTCGACACTTCTTACCGTGAGGATGTGTATTCTGTCTTGAGAGTCCTCTCATGTGAGGAGTCAAGTGCGCTCCACCTTGAGAGTCGGCATTGTTCACGTGGAGCATCTGGAAGGAGAGGGCGGAGCTATCTGAAGGGACCTGGACGAAGCACTGGGTCACGGTCACCATGCCAACCCACCTTTCTCTGCCTGCTGCGTTGATATATGGGTGATGAGGGGCAGGCCAGCCCTACAGGGGAGACGAGTACTGGGCGTCTATAGATAAGCACCAGCGGGGTACCTTCCATTGGCTGTGATCGTCGTCCTGTCTGCGACGTTAAATAATTCTTGAGGACTTCGGGGGCCGTCCTAAAACGCCTCCTGATCAGCCAATCGGTCAGTGTAAGGCTCGTTGCACGTGAGGATAAAAATAGTGCAGGCCTGGCCGGCTCAGCATACACTCGGGGCACAGGGGTGGGCCGTGTGCATACCTTTAGACACGCATGTTGTTTCAGATCGCTCAGGGACACTGACGTCAAGTGACCATCAAGAGGAACTGAGGGAGGGGTATAGATTCCAGGTGATAAGTTCGGGAAAACTCCATTCTGCCAACAGACCCAACAAATGATTCTATTTTATTCTTGATTAGTTAGATGCTACAACCATTAACACATCTGACAGACAGCCTAGGTAGAAATTACTGTTTGCTTTCTGTTTGCGGACTAGTCAAAGTAAAATTGTTTCGTTTGTAGGAATCTGAACTACCTGTTGGAACCGAATGTATAGTCTCTGGCATAACCACCAATTATTTACTTTAAATTGGTCTATACATTACGCTGTGGTAGGCATCGTGAGTGACCTAGTGCAGATTGTGTATAGTTCTGTAGCTTATGAGCGACAGGGAGACCACTAGCGAGGACGACAGGATTTTGCGATCGGCTAGACGCCCTATAGCCAACGTGGCATTAGGACCCAAGGGTGACAGGTTACTGTTCCGCCAGCTTAGGGAGAGACAACAGCAGCAGCGGAGAGCTAGGCCAGCAGAGGCCAGCAGGGCGTTCGCAAGCGAAGCCGCTGCTTCAGCAGCCATGGCAAGTGTTGTGCAGCAGAGTTCCCAGGCCAGCAGTTCAGGGTCCATAGGGTCAACGATTGCACAGACCTTGAGTCAGTCCACTGGCGTTATGGCAAGCCAACCAATAGTGTTGACTCCTGAAGAGGTCGCCATACAGCAAGCAGCGCTTCGCGAGGCACAACTACAGAAGGCTTTAGGGGAGATAAAGGCGGAGAAAGAGGAGATGATTAGAAGAAGAGCCAGGATGCAGCGAAGACAAGCGGATATTAGTGAGTTAGAGGCGATGGACCTGACAGAGATGAATGATGATGTGAGGACCCTGAGGACGGTCTTGCTAGGTGTAGTAGAGATGCAAGATCACCAAATGGCGCTCTTACAGGACATCCAGCAGAGCCTGGCCGTATTGGTCGGGCGAGCTCAGGCAACCACATCACCATCAGGGCCTGTACCTGGCCCGTGATACAACCTCCTCCTTTCACCCCACCGGTGACTGGGGTATCCCCATATGCCTCTCCAGCATCGGTCCAAGCCGTTTCCCTAGGTATGCCGCTAACAGGAGTGTTCTCAGCAGGCCCAGTGTACAAATTCCTGTACAAACAGTGTATTCCCAACTTCAGTCGCAGGTTGCCGTAACTGGGCAGCCTGTTGTCTCGCAGCCAACACAACAGCTGGGCACACAACCCCAAGAGCAGTTGGTGCAGCAGCCTGCTCCCCAGGGTACACAGCCTGGAATGGGACAGGTACCGGGAGAAGGCCAATGGGTTCCAAAGACGGCCATCGCCTCGCATAAACCCTTTTCAGGGGACAAAAGGGGCGAAGACCTCGACACATGGTTGAGGTCAGTGCCAGTCTATGTTAAGTGCAAGTTAAACTTGCCACACAAGGAAGTGCTTGTGGCTGCCGCCTACCTTGAGGGGAGTGCAGCAAGATGGTTAAGCGGGTTAGTGCAACTTCAGGGGTACGGTCATGACTTCCACGCTTGGGCAGTCAACCAGAAATTGGAGGATTTCCTTAAGCCGGTGGAGGAAAGGTGGCATGATCCTCAGGAGGCCCAAAAGGCCACTGACGCGATCCTGACTCTTAGCAATAGACCGTTCAAGTCAGTTAGGGATGCCACAGACGCGGTAGAGCGTCTGATCTGTGTTCCTGGAATTCGTTACGACCCCCAGGCCTTACTCACTACTTATCTGAGGTGTCTTCCCGTGCCCCTCAGAAATCAGTTGCCGGGTGAGGCAAACATCAATAAGCACAAGTTTCCTTCGTTCAGCAAGAGCCCCTAGACCTCGATGCAAAGATAGGGCATGGGCACCAACCCACTACGGTAGGAAGAAAGCACTGCCTCCCAACTGGAAGGCGAAAGGTCGCATTATGTTCGTCGACAACGATGGTTCCACCATCGAGTTGGATGACGACTTCTAGGAGGGAGTAGGTTCAAAGACGGGCATCGTAGAAGCTTCAGGGGGTGGAGCAGTCGCTGCCTCAGTTCAAAAAGGCAAGGCGGCCGGTAGACGCTGTGGAGGTTCCCGGTCTAGGAGTCAAGTTGACCCTAACGCTCCTCCACGGGAGAAAGCGGGTCTCACAGAGGACGTGTGGAGAGACTGGTACACCAGGCAGACCTGTATTCATTGTGGTCAATATGGCCATAACCAGTTCGACTGTCGCAACAAGAAGGTGATCGAGAAGATCCCGCCTACAATGGGGCAGACGTTGGGATCCTCCGCTCCCGTAGGTAGCAATGTTGTCAGTAGTTCTGGAACTGCTCCGGGAAACATGTCGGGCCAGTAGGAATAGTAGTTGTTCCTGCTAGGGTCGAGGTGGTGGACACACCCTCACCATCTCGAGAGATGGACCAAGCTACTGACTCTGTTGCCATCCTGCAAACACATTCTGACCCAACGATCCTCTATTCGCTGAATGTGTTTGAGTCCTTAGAGGAGCTAGAGGAGGAGTGGTCTAGATCGGACCCGCTAGCTTCTTGGACGGCTATGGCCAAAGTCCCTAAGGGTAAGTTATTCGTCGGCGAGGTAGTCATCGGCGGCCGTAAGGCCGGGGCCTATTATGACACTTGTTCGACGCGAAACTTTATCAGTCGCGCGTGCATTGAGAGGTTGCGCTTACAGGGGCAAGTGCAGCGCCTGAGTCGACCTGTGGAGTCGACCTGTGGAGTCGACCTGTGGAGTCGACCTGTGCCAACAAACAGCGCATGGTAGTCAACGACTACCTTAAGGACGTTGAGTGTTGTTTCCCGTACCGGGAGGGGAATTGAGACATCGCGTATCGTTCCTAGTCAGCGATGATCTCCCGATGGACATCCTGTTAGGTATATACTATCTTTTTGTTGCACAACCCCAGCTTGACTGGGACTGAAAAGTGGTCAAGCACACTCTGCCCAGTGGAGGGACCACCAGATTACGTAAGTTCAAGGCTAGTAGTCTGATCGAGTCATATGATGCATCTGTGCGGCTGCATTCTATAATTATTATAAGCAAAATCCGGAGGAGGGTATGTATCTAGTTTATGTCTCTGCAGCAGGCGAACCGGTGAAAATGCCGCCGAAGATAGAGGGAGTAGTCGCTAAGTACCCTGATCTATTCGAAGAGCCAAAAGGGGTTGTGGAGAGGGAGGTCGTCCACGCGATAGAGATTATCCCAGGGTTTAGCATTCCGAAGGTTAGGATCTGTCGGATGTCTCCAGGCGAGCTTGATGAGCTCCGCCGGCAACTCAAGGAACTCGTAGAGAAGGGTTGGATCCGGCCGAGTGTCTCCCCTTATGAATCTCCAATTCTATTTGTACAAAAAAAGGTGGGAACTTTGAGGATGTGCATTGACTATAGGGACCTCAATGCCATCACTGTCAAGAACCGAGAGCCCCTACCCCGCATTGATGACTTGTTGGACCGAGTGCAAGGGTGTCGGTACTTCAGTAAGATAGATCTGAAGTCCGGGTGCCATCAGATTGCAATACGGCCTGAGGATCAACACAAAACCGCTTTTCAGACCAAGTACAGTCTATATGAGTTTGTGGTGATGCCTTTCGGTCTTTCCAATGCTCCTGGCACCTTTCAGCACGCAATGAGCTGGATCTTTCATGACTACTTAGACAAGTTTGTCATCGTGTACCTTGATGACATACTTATCTTCAGTAGGACTGTCGAGGAGCACGTTGGTCATTTAGACAAAGTCCTCAGTCTCCTTAGGCAGCCAAAGTTCAAGATTAACGGCGAGAAGTGCGAGTTTGGCCGCACCCGTATCTTGTACTTGGGTCATGAGATTTTCGCAGAGGGATTGAAGCCCGATGACGCGAAGGTGGCCAGCATTCGTGACTGGCCACGTCCTCAGTCTGTGACTGAGATGAGGTCCTTCTTAGGGATGACCGGCTACTACCACAATTTTAGGAAAAACTATAGCATAGTTGCCGCCCCTTTGACGGACCTGACCCGCCTTGACACCCCTTGGGAGTGGACAGACAGGTGTGAGGCTGCCCTCAAACATCTGAAGCATACGTTGACGCACCATGAGGTCTTGAAGCTTCCTGATCCTGACAAGTCGTTTATAATAACCACGGATGCTAGCCAATATGCATAGGCGTCGTGCTCGCGCAACAGGAGGGGCCAAAGTTGAGGCTTGTCGAGTACATGTCCAAAAAGATGCCCTCTCAGAAGTTGGCTAAGTCCACCTATGAGAAGGAACTCCATGCGATCTATAAGGTGCTAACCCACTGGAGGCACTACCTCCTTGGGAGGTTCTTCTAAGTCAGGACTGATCACCAAACACTGAAGTGGATGAGAACCCAACCAGTGCTCTCAAACGCACTGAAAAGATGGATCGAAGTCATTGAACAATATGACTTCGAGCCTCAGTACATCAAAGGAGAGTACAACAGAGTTGCTGATGCGCTGTCACGTAGGCCAGACTTCCTCGGTGCGCTGATAACTGAGTTTGGGCTTGCGGACGATGTCACTCGTTCTTTGGTGGACGCCTATCACGAGGATCCGTTTATGGCTGAGATCATACGCAAACTCGAGGCAAAGGACAAAACGATTTCTGCTGAGTTTGAGTTGGTCAACGGCCTACTGTTCCTTGAGAAGGCTGGGAATAAACGTCTGTGTGTGCCTAACCGTGAGTCTTTGCGTAGTTTATTTTTAGGCGAGTGTCATGATGCCATAGGACATTTTGGGTATAAAAAGACTGCAGCCAATTTGCTGCAGCAGTTCTGGTGGCCCACGATGATGAGAGATGCCAAGCTGTACGTGGAGGCCTGTCAGGTATATCTGAGGGACAAGCCACGTACACAGGCCCCTCTTGGGCTTCTTAAGCCCGTTCCGATTCCGGAAAGGCCTGGTGAGAGCCTGTCCATGGACTTCATGGACACACTGGTCACCAGCAAGAGTGGAATGAGACACATCTTTGTCATTGTGGATAGATTTAGTAAGTACGCTAGATTAGTTGAGATGCCTGAAACAGCGAAGACCAAGTACGTCATTAAGATGTTCAAGGAGAACTGGGTCAGAGACTTTGGGCTACCGAAGTCTATTGTGAGTGACCGGGATGTCAGATTCACGAGTGAGTTGTGGAAAGCTGCAGCTGCAGAACAAGGAACACAACTGCAAATGACATCCGGGAAGCACCCAGAGGCAAACGGGCAGGCAGAACAGCTGAACCACGCTGTACAGCACCTGTTAAGGCACTACATCAAGCCCAACTAGGTGGACTGGGATGAGAAGCTTGCTCTCATCGCCAACCTGTACAACAACGCTGTGCACAGCGCAGCAGGCGTAAGTCCAAACAGTTTGCTACTGACGTTCAAGCCTCGATTGCCTCTAGACTTTCTTCTACCTGAGAATCAACCGACAACTGCACCTGGTACATTGGAATTTGCATATCGATATGAACAGTTGATGCAGCACGCTGTAGAACAAATGCACAAGGCGCAGGCGGCGGTGATAGACTTTGAGAACAAGCACCGCCGCCCATCTACATTCCAGGTAGGGGACAGAGTCTGGGTCAAGTCCTCAGAACTGGGACAGAGCACGGGATATCCCGCAAGCTCATGCCACAGTACTTTGGACCCTGGGAGGTTCTAGATATTGTCGGGGATGATCCGGATGGGCCGTCATATGTAGTTCCCTGGTCACCTTCGCACCTACCCTGTCTTTCACGCCTCTAAGCTTGCACCATTCGAGGAAACTGATCAGTTTCCCTCGCGACGCTCAATGCTGCCCCCAACCATGGATGGAGAGGCCGACATCGACGACATCGTGGACCACAGAGAAATGCCAGTTCCAAGACCGACAGGCAGGAGACGTTGCCGGGCGGCCCAAGCCTTACACCGCCCTTTACTTCCTTGAGAACAGCACTTCACGGTGATCGAACTGTTATGGCCAACTTGGCCATGTCCGTTGTCAAAGACCTGCGACGGCGGGACTGCGTGAGCGACATCGGGACCGAAACGCCGGAAGAATGGGTCCGCTTATTTAAAGGGGGCTTTCCTCCAGATGGCACTATAAATTTCTATTGTCTGGGAAACGTAAAACGCTCCGCCATCGAGAGAGATGCCGGAGGCGACGAACTGATGATGAGAACGGGGAGCCTGGAGTCACACTCAAGCTTTGGCAACGTGTGAGACAGGAAGGGGCATCCGGCTCTTGCGCCGAATCTTCAGCTGAACTCAGAGGCAACGACAGTGGGGAATTACCGCAAGACTGAGAACGAAGGGAATCACTGCACCAGCATCGATGGGGCCTTGACGTTTGTCGTCGGGCCTAGGATCGAATGGAAGCCTTGGACTATAAAAGGGCGCTCTAAAGGGAGGAGCCCTATTTTTCTCGGTACCGGGCCCTGCGGATTTTCAATGGGGCCTTGTTAGTTTTCACTAAGAGGGCCAAGGCAGGCACGGGATCAGGCTAGGAAGCAGGCTTGGTACCGGGGCACTGCAAAAGGCCCGGTACCCGATAAAAACGCCCCCTTCGCGGGTGACCTTTCGGGACCCCAAAAGGGCCCAGGCCTAGGCTCGGAAAGAGCCTCAGTACCGGGGCGCTGCAACGTCCTCAACAGCGGCCAACACTTCGGGAGGCCAGAGATCTAGGTCCCACGTGAGACTGGGGCCAACAAAGTTTAAAAGCCCAACTGGGCTCGAGACGGGGGGGGATTCTCACTTGCACACGGAACCGGTGCACGGGCTGGCACACGAAGTGTGCTGGCTCAGAAACGCACGGGGGGACTTGTGCACGGGACACTGGCGCACTGGCTGCCCGCAGAGGGCTAGCTCACGAAGGCCATGCGGACGAACGGGGACTTTGATGCACTGAGGAGCAGGCTACACGCACGAAACGGGACACATTACCAGCAGGATACGGGCGGAGTGGATTGACACAGGGACTGATGAGAACACGCCCGATTCGGTACGGGTTGAAAAAGCCTATCGCGCACGGAGGGAAAGCTCCTTTCCCAACAACCACTGCACACAATTCAGCCACGTGCCCCCTTGGAACACAGCATCAGGCCACTGGTCCTCGGCGGCGAATGGAAGGCCCTGTCGAGCAACCAGTGAGAAAACGGGGTTGCGCTCATTGCCAGCACATCGGAGTGCGTACCAACTCGAGGCCTCGAGATCACTGGGAACGTCCCTATCACGGGGCAAGGACAGGTCGGGGAGGTGCAGCAAGAGAGTGGCGCAGAAAGGGGAATCCGACTGTTCACTACGGCGCGCAAGCGGCAGAAGAAGCTGCACGAATCATGATCGGGGCAGCGCGAAGTTGCGCAAGTGGCAGAAGAGGCTGTGCGGGTGATGATCGGGGCAGCGTGAAGCGGCGTAAGCGGCAAACGAGGCTGTGCGAATGACAAATGGGGTGCTGCGAAGCTGCGCGCGCGAGCGCAGGAGCACGGGCACAAGAGAGAGAGAGAGAGAGAGAGAGGAGGGGGGGGGGGGGGGGGGGTGCAGTCCACAGACGCACCTGGGCGTGATCGCACACCAGGTTCATTTCCTTTTCGAGGGAGAGAGCGAGGGGGAAGGAGCAACTCTGTGTAGCGCTTGCGCGGGAAAGAAGAAGCGGTGCGGGAAAGGAAATCGAGAGAATTGCGCGCGGGAGGAGGAGATCTGCTGTGGACGGGCTGCTCGAGCGGAGCAATCACCAGCGCGATCGAGCGGAGCATCGCTAAGCTGCGCGAGCCGGAGAATGAGTGCACGGAGTGGCTGCGCACGGGCGGGAAAGGCTGAGCGAGCTGATCTGGGCCGCACGCGGATGAAAGCGAGCTGAGTGCGAGGTTGGAGCTGCATGTGAGGTTGGAGCTGCGTGCGAGGTCGGAGGAGCTGCGTGTGGGATAGCTGCTGCGCGCGGATGTGAGGAGCTGCGTGAGAGAGAGGGGGCTGCGCTGGAATCGGGGTTGTGAGTGATACGGGAGGCATACTTGGTGCTTGAGGCGAAAGGCATTGCCCAAGATCTACTCGTACTTCGGGAAGCTGTTGACGTCACCAGCGGCATCGTAGATAGTAGGCTAGTTAGGAACTGCCACCTGTAGCCTGGACGCCGAGCGCCAGATAGGGTCTCGACATTGGTTCTTTGTTGATGATGATGAGACTACGCTAGCATTGTCACTTATGAGCTCATGCCGTGTTCTTATTTGGTGAGACTCGTGTTGCAAACCTGCTTTTGGTTCGAGATTACGACTATCTGGTTTCATGTGTATGATGCTTCTTGGTTGCTGGAGTTAGCTATCGATCATTTTCACGCGGGGAGACCCTGTGCGCGCTCACGAGGGAGAGAGAGAGGAAAGAGCTGGCGCAGGCAAGGGAATCCGACTGTTAACTCAAACGCGGGCTGAGCTACGTGGGTGGGGAAAGAAGCCCTGTTGAGCTTGACTCAGTTGACTGCAGTTCGACTCTGTGTTGAGCTCGAGTGCAGTTCGATTTTGACTGGAGCTTGACTGCAGTTCGACTCTGCAAAGGGACTTATCAGACCAGACCAGATCCGGACAAGACCAGATCCAGACCGGATCGGACCAGACCGGATCCGAGCGAGACCAGTTCAGATCGGATCAGACCAGGCTCGGACCAGACCAGACCATACCGGATCAATCAGATCAGATCGGACCTGATGGGACCTGGGCTGGATCAGATCAGACCAGATCAGATCAGACGAGATCAAGATCAGATCAGATGAGATCAAGATCAGACCAGACCAGACCAGACCAGACCAGACCAGACCAGACCAGAACAACAGGACCCCTTGGCCAATGGGAGTGGCACCGGCGACATCCCATTGGACGCAGGACCCAGCAAAGAATATGACACGTTCAGTCTTGACACAAACTGAACTCCAGGACCGGCGGGAGGGAGGCTGTCCTGGGATAGGATGTCGCGCGTCTGCGTCTATCATTATTAATTGAATAAAACGATTTTCTCGTTCTTTCTGCATTCTTGGTCGTCGTCTAGTTCACACCCTGTGTTTATATCTGACTCAGTGGTGATTTTGCAGGTTACAGGAGCCCGGGACTAGCCCTCCTGCGGTTGACAGACGCGGGGCAGACATAGGGTTAGATCCGCGGGCCGGCAAGTTCATTCTCCCGGTCGACAACGTCCTCCTAGCCGAAGCTGCAGTACCGCGTTCGGTTTAGGCATCACTGATCCTAAGGAGGACAGATGGTTCACTCGGGAGGAACTGATGCAGACTGCTCCACAAGCTGTCGCTCATTATGAGACGTCACTGCAGAAAGGAAAGCGCCAGATTGAGTAATGGAACTTCTCAGAGGACTGTCAAAGTATGGAGGAGGGAATGCGAGGCCCAAGGCCTCGATCTGCCCTATTGGGCCCTATTTTCTGTACAGTCGGCCGCCCTAAGTGAAGGCAGGCGGCTACAGGCCTACTTTTGGGGTCACCGTGCAACTGGGCCAATTTCAGGCAGTTGCGCAGCGCCAGTTGGTTGAGAGCGCCCAGGCCCAGGCTGCCTTTTTCCGTATGTAACTGAGGCAGGCCCTGGGCCAGATACGCAACATGGACCAAACACAGGCGGAGGGCAGTTGGACGCGGGCAACCACCAGAGGCCCAGGGCCTGATTCATTTGGACTGGGGCACAGCCTCTCTGGGCCTACCAGAAGCTTCTGGGGAGGGGCCCAGCGCAGCCAGGCTTCATGCAGCAGGCAGGCAATTTCCATTTAGGAAAGTGCCTGCCCACGTATTCCTCATTCGGGCAATGGCTGCATGCTGCGCAAGCGCTGCTGCGCTTGACGCTGGCCCGCGCTCACGCGCTCACGGCCGAGCTGGATGAGCAGGCAGCCATAGCCGAGCTGCGCTGCTGTATGCTGGATGGGGCGCATGGTGGTCCTTGGGTGCACATGGCATCTGTGAGTGGGGGATCGAGGTTGTGAGTGATATGGGAGACATACCGGTGCTTGAAGCGAACGGCATTGGCTGAGATCTGCTTGTACTTCGGGGGAGCTGTTGACGTCACCAGCGGCATTGTAGATTAGGCTAGATAGGATCTGCCATGAGTAGTCTGGGCGCAGAGCGCCAGATAGGAGGTTCACAATGGTTCTTTGTTGATGATGACTCATTGGTGAGAGACTATTCCAACATTGTCACTTATGAGCTTTTGCTGTGCTCTTATTTGGTGGAACTCGTGTTGCGAATCTGCTTTTGGTTCGAGGTCACGAAGATGGTCACATGTGTATGATGCTGTTTGGTTTCTGAAGTTCGCTATCACTCATTTTCCTTGCAAAATGGGCAAGTAAAAAAAAAAAAAAAAAAAAGGCACTACAAGATGAAAACTTGAAAAGCAATTTTTTTCTAATATTTTCCTGATTGAAAGGCCACACCTCCAATGGTATATCAGCTTGTAGTGGCTATTTGTTTTTGGAAAAAAACTTAGGCCACAACTCCATAATATATACCATGGCAACTGTGGACCCGGACCCGGACATGTCTGGACCGAGGCCCAGA